ATTGTAGAGACTGACGGTTACAGAATATAAAAATTTCACACTTGTTTTTTACAGACTACAAAAAAGGAAGATGATTTTAATTTTTTTTTTCGTTGGGTTTCTGTTCAATAATCTCCGTAATTCAATTCTTTACTGACGTACTGTAACTTGTAACGCCCAATCGGTACCAGTTCGCGTACCACCCTATCAGATGTCAGTATTACGTCGTACCATATTTCCAAAACAAATAGAGCAGATGAAATCATTATGTTATCACAACACTTTAAAGTGCAAATATGTACTTTTAAAGTTAGTAGAGACAGGCACAGACAACATTATGAAACTGGTGTAAAAAAAATAAACACTGTTAACCTATATAGTTAACAGTAAAGCAAGTCAGTAAAGCAGTTAATTTAACACTAAGGGTAGTTTATCCGTTATCATAAAACCGGTTTCATTGTTCACGACAAAACCGTTTAATATTAACAGTTCCTTAAATTAACACCAATCCTTTAGCAGCCTTCTATAATACTAAAGCTGTTAGATATTATCGAGGCAAAATATTGATGTAACTAAATAAATTCGGTTAGAGCAAGTCGCGAGATCACTTTCGTCATTGACTCATTATTCATCTTCGAAACAAATCACGCTCAAGGGCGAATAACATTTATTTAAAGAAAATGAAAACTCAGACCGGTTTTGTATACTATTACGACGTCAAACGCGTTGATTGTAAATTATGTCGTGTCGTGTCTTGTTGCAGCTGTAGATACCTCAGTCGATCTCGATTCGAAATTCGGAATGTTTAACAAGTTGCCTAGCAACCGATGACGAAAAGGGACAATGTAAACATTTCATAATTTTTGTATATTTATAGTGTTTAAGGTTTTTTTGTAGAAACAGATACACAATCTATATTTTATTATTTTTTTCTATTTTCATCATTCCTCTTTTAAAATTTGTTTGTTTGGGCGAAATAAAACAATTTCGAGCAGCTCTTATGAACTGTTTTCGTTGCACAATATGCATTAAAATACTACCTCCCACTGCTCAGACAAATCTAATGTCACGTTATATCAATGATATTATATAAAAATATTATTAATAAAATATTATTAAACATCATTGCCTCATATGCGGACTTCTGTCAAATGTTTAGGCTTTTTCGGAGATATAGAAAGATACTGTGTCCTACAAAAATAATTTTATAGACATATTGATGACTCCGTTGCGCAGTTGCCAAGGTATTGGCTTAGGCGTCGAAGTCGACCCACTGATAATTGTTTCGCATCTGGGTGTTTGTCGAGGTGAAATTTATGTTTGTAAAAACGTCCTTACAACACAGGATAATGTAATCCTAAAGTGAGGGCAATTTAAAAAAAAACATGCGTCATCTACATTAATAAACATCATTGACTAAACAAACGTTTATTTTTAACAGACAATAGTACTCACGAACACAAGCTATGGATACGGGATGCGCGTGACAGGATGACATAATATGAATACGACATGAGACGGAAAAAAATGTAGAGGGTGTTTGTAACAAAAACTTTGTTTGTTTAAATTCGAAAGGAGTTTTGAAGTTAGGTGAATAATTTCGAAAGGAGTTTTGAAGTTAGGTCTTTTGGCGCGTTTGGAAAAAGTTATGAGAGTAAATCTTTTACGATGCGCGCGTACACACAGAAAGCGTCATAGTGAAGTTAGCTGCAAAGCGACCAATTAATTTCACGGTATCACCATGGCAACCAGTTACAATTATTTGACATTTATCCATAATTCCAAGTTATTGAATTAAACCGTTATCAATTGCATTTAATGTTGACAACACTAAACGACACTTTTACGGTGGTAGGGCCACGCAGCAGCCTCGGCTGTTGCACGAATGGGCCGGCCCGTCCGTGTAAGTACCAATGGAAGTATGACAAATACTTTCGCGTTTCGTCTGGTGAGTGAGGTAGCCGGAGCCCAATTTTCAAAAGGTTGTCAACGCATCTGTAACCCTCGAGTGTAGCAGATGTCCATGGGCGGCGGTGTTCACTTAACATCAGGTGAACCGTCTGCTCGTTTGACAACTTTTCGCATAAAAAAAAAACTAAAGGATAATTCTATGCGGTATTAATGAAGCTTCGTGAGTTTCATGGTCTTTTTTGGCTGTCAGCAAGAAGTAGGTATACTGTATGCTGCCCAAACAGTATTACAAATCTTTTGAGTGGTGATTGTTTAGTCTAAAAGTATTATTGTTATAGAAAGTAAAACTACGGTGACTTGATAGAGGTATTTATATTTCTACCTTCTTAGCTCATAAAACAGCAAAAGCTGATATTAATGTACTGGCACAGAGGATACAATTTTTAGTTATTCTTCTTTTGTGACGATAAAGAATTTTAATTTCTCACGTGCGTAAGAACATAAGTAGATATACATACTTTTTTTTCTTCTTACTTTTTTTGTTTATTCTTATGGGAACTGAGTGAATAAAAATTCGCTAATTGTTCGATAATTTAATCACTGCTGTACAGTATTACAATTTTATGTTCGGAAATGTCGATGAAAGAATGACAGTTAATTTCCATCATATTGAAAATGAACCAGGTTTTATTTGGCTTGCATGTAGTAAACAATATTTTAAATTTAGTCGCATTATCGTGGAATATTTTGCACTAACAGTTGAGGAGCGTCGGAACAAAAACCGATAAATTACATTTTACCAGTTTTTACGTGAGTGTGTATGGCAATTGGCAATTCACGTAGGTACGTAATTATCTATAGCCATCTTTTATCAAATCTATTTATAAACTACTAAGACGTCTTTAAAAACTTTCTCGAAACACACTAGTCTGAACATAAACCTATAAATCAATCGAATTGTTCCATGACTGGAACATACACACTTAGAAATCATGGCATTTGATTAATATAGAACACGTGGGGAAGTTTTATTACTGAGTCAAGATTGGAATTTAAAGAATGTCAAAAATCTAAAAACATTTAAAAAAGAACTAGAAGGAACGCTAGATTTAAAACATATAAATATAAAAAAACATGATGTTATACAAGGACGAGGATTTTTTGACACCCATTGACGTTTGCAGCACCAACGAGGAAGGGTGCAGATCCCAGATGCCACCTATCAAACACCGACATATCCAGTCGGTCTGATTAAAAACCGATAAAATTATTTTATTTTTTTAAATTTCTCACCACATATTGCACACATAAATCTTTGATTTGGATATTAAAACAGTTTTACTGATACCTATAAACAAGTAAACTTTTCTCGAAATTATAAATCCATGTAAAAATGTAAAATTTTTTAACTTCCCGAAAAATAATTGACACAAGTATCAGTTTTTGTTCCGACGCTCCGCAGTTGGAAAAGTTCCACCATGGACACATTTGTGTACTTCAAAAGATCACGTTTTGTTTTGATCGTTGTGAAGTATATGCAATGAAACATATGTTTAAACAGCGTTGTTATTTTATAAACAGATTATCTGATGACTAAGAAATCGGTGCAACTGAGCTCTAACGTGAGTTTATCAAAAAAAAAAAAAAAAAAGTAACAATGCTTCGTATCAAAGTTCAATCGCGACCTGAGTATTTATTAATTTCATACAAAATTTAGCCCTATATCGTTGGAATAAGGTTTATATTCTAAAATTAAGCTATCACGTAGTCTCGAAACTCCCACACGAATACTACGTGGCATCCGCGGCATCGACCTTAGCCAAGGTCGCGTGAAAAGTCGACACACGCCAGAAGCGTGCATCGCTACTTTGAAAATGAAAACTTTTAACTGCTTAACAATTTCCGACCTTATACAGTTCTGTTAAGGTCGATTGTAATTTTTACACATCATAAAAGATTGAAATATTTGGAATTAATATTTTTCACTACCAAAATTTTGCTCATTTCAGGAATCACATCAGGAATTTATATTTCAAATGTAAAAAGATTTAAAATGTTTTATACCTACACCATAGATGTAAAGGATCATAAACCTTATAGAATACCATAAACCGATCTTTCAGTTCAATCCTGCTACCCTTGTTCATAAAAATCATGACCAGCCTATAATTAATAAAATTAAATCCAGGTCTAAGCACCTTACCTTGAAGACTTAGAAGTCTCAATCACTTCTTCATAGACCGGAGACAGAATTTGTTTTTAGAAAATTTCGGTAGCAGTGTCCTTTAGTTGTGAGACTTCTTTTGAAAAATTAACGAATTTGAGATTAGTAATTAACGCAGATTAGTTAATGAGACGTTTTTAGTGAATACAATCGTTATAGTTATTAATTAACGTGTCTATTGTGCCAGAGGGAGTGGCTTCGATCCCCATTACTGGAAAAATATCGTGTTATGAACAAAATGTTTTCCAAGTATCTGGCCGTTTATAAATATAGGTTGTCCCATTACATGGTTAGACTACATCAAGATTGCGTAGAATAAGTAAATCTTTTATGGGACAATGTATACGGTTTGACAACAAAATCCCAGATAACCTTCAAAATAAATCGGATATATATTAAAAAAACTTGTAAAGGAACATTTGTGTGTTAGACGCTAGTATAGCATTAGTGATTGTTTAAATAATTACCTACTCTGGAAATGAATTGATCGCTTTCAAATGGAATTGAATATATTGTATACCTACTTCATATGTTTGTCAAATTATGTTTAAAAAAATTATCCCGCGGAGTTTCGAGTTTCTTTCGCCGGTTCTTCTCAGGTCAGTGGCCCTTTTCCGAACCGGCTGTTTTTTGACTATCAATAAGTTTTGACTAACAATAAACTAAGAGTAATACTTCTATATCGAATAAAGATATTTGAATTTGATTTGTATTTACATGCTTTGCTTAGTTCGGAACTAGATTATTTTGTATTAAAATTATGTGATCAAAAATTTGTTTGCTGATTAAAGTAATAACTTAAGCCAAACGTTAATGTGTAGATTAATGTTATATGTATAGAAGCTGGAGGCATTTTGTGTATTATTGATGTAGTATTTTGCAGGAAATGCTGAAGTCCGTCGCGGCGCAAATAGCGAGACATACGACACTATCGAGACGGCACCTGACGCCAGAAATCGCGCTGCGTTTGGTGACGCCCTCGTGCCCACTTTGGTCGGCACCAGCCGAGGAGAGCCCGTTCCGGGATCCGTTCTGGGCAAGCGACTGCGAGGTAAGAGCAAAGTTCAGCCTATATAAGTCCCACTGCTGGGCAAAGCTCTCCTTTGTACAGGGTATTACGGCATAGTCCACCACGTGACCCCAGCACATTGGCGGACTTCACATATCTCCGAAACATAATCCAAATGAAGAATCTTTGTGCGGAAGAACATTCCTTATTGACAGCGGAATTTTCGAAAGTCCCGACACCCATGCCTGTAGTGGGTGCTCGTTTATTTATAACCTGTATTGCAATTCCCAAGGCCATTTACCATTCGAATATCCCAAGTTCTTCTTTTTTCTTTTTTCTTTAATAAATGGCTTCTCTTAAAAGGATTCTGCCAATATCATGTCAGTCAAGGGAGTGACGTTGATTCTTAAAGATCAGATAAATTTTGTGATTAAATTGAGGCATTTGCACATAACATTTATATCCCATCACGTTATTAACACATGTCACAGATGCACACATCAAAAAATCTAAATACATTAAAATTTAGAATATCACAACCTAACATGAATACAAACACCCCTTAGTGATTAACAAATGTTCTTCAAAAGTATAGTTTACCAATATGCTTTTGAATTAATAATATAAATAATGATAATACTCAAATTTAATTGCACTAATATTTTTCCCCCTTTTGAATTTCCTGTTTCATTCTTTTATATTTCAAACGTTGTGTATTGATAGATCGATCCGTCAGTTTCTCTTTTTATTTTTATATAGTTTGGCAATCGAATAATTTTGCATTACTATTTAATTTTAATGACTGAAAACGTCTAACAAACAGACGGTTCATTTGACGGGACGCCTATGGATTATTGATGCTTTCCTTACCATACACTGTTCAAAACGCGACATAAATACTCCTTCGCCGAACTCAAACCTAAGAATCCAAATAGATAGAAAATACTGCCCGCTTACAATAAAAAACAAAAGAGACCGAACTCGAAACCACCATTGTAATAAAGTCTCCCGTAACATCACCAATATCTTTTCCTTCCTTGTTCAATGCTCGCGTTGAATATCAATATTTTAACACAAAACATGTTAAGGATAACGATGTTAAAATATTGCTATCTTACTACATTTATGAATCTATACGAGACCAACTTGTTGAATAAAAGTACAATATAACAATAAAAATATTTATTAATATGCATTTTAATTTTACCGTATTCAAAGTTAAATTGAACCTTATTATTGCACCTACCATATAATTTATCTCCACGCCCCGGGGTTGACTGGGAGAGAATGCCAAAAGGCATTAAGTTGACCCTTTATAGTCATTGTATTGCAAAAAGTATAAATAAATAAAAAAGTGTAATAAGCATTTTGATTTTATTATCGAAATCAACTTGATTTTAATAAAGTTCTGTGCTAATTTAAAATAAGAAAACAATTTTCAAACGCAATGCAATAAACTATACAGATCAACGAAATTATGTGTTTACATAAGCCGTGATAGCTCAGTGTCCGGGCGCTCGCCTTTAATTCCATATACTCGAGCAACCTAAGTTCGATCCCCGGTGCCGACACCAAAGAAGTTTTTAACTTTAAGTGCTGACTTATCACGTGCTCCGCGGTGAAGAAAACATCGTGAGGAAACCTGCATATTTTCGAAATAATAACAAAAAAAAAATTCCGAAGATATGTGAAGTCCGCCAATCCGCAGTGGGGCCGCATGGTGGACTATGCCCTGATACCCTCTGTATAGAGGAGGCCTTTGCCCAACAGTGGGACATGTATAGGCTGTTACTTACTTTTACATGGGGATTTAATAAATTACCACAATGGCGTCAATAATAGCATCAGACTTTTCTGTCAATTCTTGACTCTTTCTTTGAAATGTAGAGCTTTTGGTAATGTAGAGCTTAGGCTCATTTTGGTGTATACTATTTTCGAAACTTTCTATTATCTTAGATAATTTGCATGTCATATACATATTTATATTGTAAGATATTGAGATACTCGACACTGAATTTATGTAAGGAAGCCACAAAAAAAAAGATAAAGGCGCAGATAATTAAAATAATAAATATATCTGTATTAAATCCAAACATAGATTATCTAAGGACTATCATAAAGACTAAATTACTGTCTTTGATAAAAAAATTGCATTTCATGCATGCATTACCTACTAAAATTTACTGTTTGCTTTCTAAGATTACATATTTAGAAAAATTGATTTCGTCAAGGAGCGGCTTCGTGTTATCGAAAATCAACGAAAAGAACACCGACACAACCAATGCAACGAAGTTGGCGACGTGGAATTATTTAAAAGAAATCATTACAAACGTCAGTAATCAGCTGACCAAAGTCGGCCATGTTTTTCGCTAATATACATTTATCGAAAGTTTATAGTAGGGTCCTAGCTTGTTTATGTCAAAGACACTTACAATACAAGGTATAAGACACTTTATCGGAGGGTTTTAGCGTAATATAACGATTATGAAAAAGACTTTTTACAATCTATTTTTAGCGAGCTTTTAAACCTCTGATAACTTATTACGAATAAGACCGTAACAACTTAATTGTTATAACCAAAGAAGCTATACAAAGGCAAACAACCGAAAGTAAGAATTTTAATAGAAAAAGTTTATGCTACCGCGTCACATTTGGGTAATTCCAATTTCGAACTCCGAATACACTTCGCGATACAATCATTTAAATATAGCGCTTAGCACATTGCAATTCGTACGATTATCCCCTGTAGTTCAAAACGCTTACGACGTTTTGTTTTGAAACGTATTAAATTGCAAAAAAATTGTAAACATAAAATATGGCAGTTTATCAATTTGGCAGTAACGACACCGGCAGCAGGCTTAAGATATGACTCACTGACGCACTTGCGGGGTTTTCTGCTCTATTCATAGACAGATCCTCCAAGGTAATTAAAAAAAATACTGCTATTCATTACATTTCAGCGAGCTGACATAAAATTACCCTATTAAGTAATATTGTCACTTCTATATTATTGTTACTTCTATTGAACAGCAACAAAATTTGACATGTACCAATTTGGAATCCGTTCCAAGTATATTATGTATTACTGAACATTGGCTATTAAACTACCAGTACATATTTAACTTCAGATGTCACCAGGTTGCTAGACTGTTCAGCAGAGAAAAAGCGATACGTGGTGGCTCTCTTATACTTATTAATAATGCTTTAAAATTTAAGAACCGCAAAGATGTTGTGAGCCTCTCTGTTGAGCAGACTATTGAAATAGCCTGTGTGGAGCTTGAGCAATTCATTGTTGTATGCGTATACAGACCTCCTAGTGCGTTATATGAATCTTTTGAAAATGTTTTGGAAGAATTGATGTTGAAGTTATCTGAGTCTAATAAATATATTATTGTCTGTGGTGACTTTAACATAAATTTATTAGAAAATTCTACCACCTCTATTAGATTCAGATCATTGTTAAATTCATATAACCTTGCCAATTTATTCCTTGAACCAACTAGAATCACTACTTCTTCCGCAACTTGTTTAGATAACATATTTACAAATTGTAACCCAATTAACAAGTCTATTATTAATATATTTATTTCAGACCATTGCGGACAACTTGCCACTTTTAAATCATATATAAAAAAATAGTAGTGCTAAGGTACAAAAAATAATGGTTGCTCCTGTAAATAGAACTCGGGTTGAGAAGTTTAGAAGTAATATAACAAAAAAGCTGACCTATCTACCTTATAATGATAGCCCCAATGCACTTTACAACATATTACTTTAATTTAATTAAAGTGGAATTTAATACTATATTTACTCCTAAGACAGTCAAATCTAAAAGCTCTGTAGTTTTCAATGAATGGGCAACAGTCGGAATTCATAATAGTAGACGTAGATTGTATGAACTTTATAGTGAAAGGACATACAATCATAGTCAATGTTTTGTTTCTTATGTTAGTGCCTACTCTAAAATATTTAAAAAAGCTTGTTATACTGCTAAATCTCTATATATTAGGAATAAAATAAAAAATGCACCTGATAGAATCAAAATGACTTGGAAAATAATTAATAGCGAAACGGGAAGAGTCACGAAGCGCAAATCTGACCTAATGTTAACTAATGATAATAATTCTATTAACTCAAATCAACAGGCTGCTACTTTCTTCGAGAAATTTTTCGTTGACATTCCAGTTTCAACAACCAAGTCACTTCTTTCCTCACCGACGGTTGCTGAGTCATTACTAAAAAAGAATGTTATGGAATGTAAAGTCAACTTCAAATTTACTACTGTAAACAAGACAGAAATTGTTAAAACTTTTAAAACTTTAGATGTTAAAAGAACTGCAGATCTATGGGGGATCTCGGTTAAGGTGATCAGTTCTATTATTGATGTAATATCACCTTACCTAGCAACTATTTTTAATATTTGTATCAATCGTGGCGAATTTCCTGACCTTATGAAACATAGTAAAATCATTCCGGTGTTTAAATCTGGTAGTACTTCCGACCCCAATAATTTTAGACCTATCTCTGTACTGCCAACTCTTTTTGTCATTTATTACATAACAAGCAATATGGGTTTACTAGGGGTCGCTCAACAACTGATGCGGGTGTTCAGCTCGTTATGAATATTTTTGAAGCCTGGGAAAAGTCGCAGGATGCCTTAGGAATATTCTGTGACTTAACCAAAGCTTTCGATTGTGTACAGCATGAGACCTTGGTCAGGAAACTACGCCACTATGGTATAAGAGATGCCGCACTCAATCTTCTGAAATCGTACTTGAGCCATCGAATTCAGAGAGTTGACGTGAATGGCAAGAGATCTCCCGGGGCCTTGGTAAATATGGGGGTCCCGCAGGGATCTATTCTTGGGCCTTTTCTCTTCCTCATTTACATAAATGATCTACCTTATCTTGTTAATAATTATCATGAGATAGTATTGTTTGCGGATGATACCTCTTTAATCTTTAAAGTAAACCGACGTTCTTTAAGTTATGACGATGTAAACAATACTCTATCTACTGTAGTACATTGGTTTAGTGCTAACAATTTACTGTTGAATAATAAAAAAACTAAATGTATTAAATTTACAACTTCCTCCAATGTTAAACATGTAAAAACTGATGTACTTTTATATGGGGAAGCGTTGGACCCTATTGACTCAACTGTATTCCTTGGCATAACTATTGATGCCTAACTGCAATGGGGCCCCCATATTAATAGACTGGCGAGTAGACTTAGCTCAGCAGCTTTCGCGGTCAAAAAAATAAGACAGTTAAGCTGATGTTGATACGGCTCGCTTGGTATATTTTAGTTATTTTCACAGTATAATGTCTTATGGCATTCTGCTTTGGGGTAACGCGGCCGACATTAATACAATCTTTATCTTACAAAAGAGAGCTATTCGTGCAGTTTACAATCTGGGCCCCAAAGAATCGTTAAGAAACTTGTTTAAAGAGATAAAGGTATTGACTGTTGCTGCTCAATACATTTTTGAAAATGTTTTGTATGTCCATAAAAATAAGGATAAATTTTTAAGACAATAATGTTCATGATATAAATACTAGGAACAAAAATAAATTGATCCTACCCACAAGTAGACTCCGTAAAATAAGTAAATCTTATATGGGACAATGTATACGTTATTACAACAAAATTCCAGAAAACGTTCAAAATGCATCAATAGCTAAATTTAAAAAAATAGTAAAAGAACGTTTGTGTGTTAAAGGCTACTATAATATTAATGATTATTTAAATGATAACACACTCTGGTAATGAACTGATCGCTCCAGGCTCTTTCAATCGGAGTTCTTATATTGTATTTTAACGAATTTATGTCAAACTGCTTATTTAAAAAAAATAAAAGCCCGCTGAGTTTCTTTCGCCGGTTCTTCTCAGTACAGTGGCTTTCTTTTCCGAACCGGTGGTAGTGTTTTGACTATCAATAAGTGAGTGTAATGCTCCTATGTTGAATAAATACATTTGATTTTATGATTTTGATTTTGTCAAAATATTGTTGATATTCAAATAGTTAAATTCAATACATCGTTCATAATTTAGTTACTGATTTTACAAAAAGTGCATAGTGTTTTCATTTTGCCAAAAACATGTTTTGTAACGCAAAAAATATTGACTAATAAAAAAGTTATAAAAGTTTATTGAAATGTTATTATTTACAATTTTTATATTTAAAACTCACTGATATTATCGTTAAGAATCGTTTTATTTAAAATATTAAACTAAATAAATTAATAAACCTTGTTTTTAATTATTTATTTTGTATTATGGTAACGCACTATAGATAAAAACCGTAGAAAGAAATTATTCACATTGTTAGAATGAAATAATGTCACCCAATATGTACTTGAATAAGAGCGAAAAAGATAAGGTTCTAATAGTATGCTAGATAGAGACGGATAGATTCAGGTACACAGTGGAAAGAAAGGGACAGAGGTGTCTGAGTCACCGAAGAATGCTTAAGGTATTTATCGGAATGACTAATATGAATTCCACGAAGTGTTTACTTTCTTCTATACAGAAAAGAACTGAATATTTTTATGTCAGCTAGCAGGCGAATGGGCTGATGTAGTTATTATTAAAAATATATTTTATACAAAGATTTCTAATCCCAAACGCAACGTACTGTGGATACTAGATAACTTACAAACATACTTAAACATACTTTAGTTTGTATTATACATATACAGCATGGCGTTATAACCGCGACAGTAAATGAATACACTGCTAACGCTACATCCCAATAATCATAGTTCAACAATTATAAAGCCAAATTGAGAGTTTAACACTGGTGGCAATTGCTTCAACTACCAGTGACTATTGGCAGAAGATATTAAACACGTCAAGAGAATCGGAAATGGATAACGACAAAGAGAAAAATTTCAAGACGATAACGCTAATTTTAGTTTTATTATTAACACAGGTAATGAAATGTCTGAGCCTAAGCCTCTTTATAAAATTCGTTGGTATTTTGAAGTATCTACATAAATAAATATTCTATTTTTATAAGTATTTATAGTATATATATTAGTATTATAGATTCAGCCATATTCGCGTTATCGTCTTATCAGCTGAACATGATATCTTCGGAACTTCCGGGAACTGATTTCGCCTCGTTTGTCCAAGCGCGTGTTTCAGATTATCGAAATATTTTCCAATAATGCGATATAAGTCGCTTACGGATACTAGACCGACGAACAAAAATTACGAAAATACGAAATTTAAAAGCCTTTTTAGGTGCCTTTATGAGAAATGGTGCATGCATGTCCATACAGTGTTACGCTCGTTGTCGTCGAGAATTAATTACAAGTTTAGATTTAAATTAAATGCGGAAAATACAGTTACTCTTATTTTGTGTCTTATTTTTAATTTGTAAGTTGGCAAATGAGCAGTCCTTTTGCCTTATTTTAATTGACATCTAAAATAATAGACAAAACGCGAAAATATAATAATTTCACTTCACGCTGGTTCTCTGAGGCCGACGTACTTTCCCAGACGACCCTGCGTGTAGCGGAAGCTGAAATTGCGTCGTCCTACCACAGATAAAATATAATAAAATAAATAATTATTCGCCTATATATGTACATGAAAATATTAAATTTTAATTACTCTCGCAAAGGGGACGTATCATTTTCGGCTATGAAGTGCTGGCTATGAAGTTCGGCATGATTCATGACCCATAAATAAAAAGTATCAGGAGTCATGGACAACTACTTTTCTACTTTTTCGATTATTGCCACTTTACAATTGCTCTGACATGTCCGAGGCTGACATCTTGATTTCTTCTTCTTCTAATGCAGTTGACATCTTGATTTCCCGCGTGTTTTCGTTTACGTTCGGAAAACAAAATATGCAAGCAACAATCATATCAGAACCACACGTGTTAATGTTAAATAAGCTTGTTGAGATATTAAATAAATTCATGTTAATAAATATACATAATTTTATCATCAATCATGGAAATAATATTCTACTACTAAACTAATTGCAAGGCTGCTGCGTAGTCGTCATTAAAATATATTTAATCAAGCTGCTGCCCGCGACTACGTCTGCGTAGAATAGGCTGAAGGCGTAACATTCAGACAGAAAGATAGATATACATAATATATCTATATAAATTATAGCCTGTCTTATTCTGATGTATAAGCTATATTATTGTAAAGTTTCATTAAAATCCATTCTGTAGTATTTGCGTGAAAGAGTATCAAATATCCATCCATACATACAAACTTTCGCCTTTATAATATTAGTAAGGATTAACATTTACTGATGTCTTGTTTTGACGTTTGACTTTTCTATGTTATGCTGACAGGGCTTGCCTATTCGTGCAACTATAGAAGCTAGTGCTCACTGTTAAATAATTTAAGCTTTTATAATATTTTTGGACGACGGAATTAATGTTTCAACGAAACAAGCAATTTCTCCCATCGTGGATTATGTAAACGTCATCCAATCGATCGGCCTTTCATAACTCTTAAGACAAATGTAAAACATTTCAATTTTAACTCTACTCTTTTAAACTTATTTGTTTATTTTAAACTTATTGCAACTGAAATCTATTTATGGGTTAATTTCTAAGGTTTCTTAAAGAATACAAATTATGACCAGAGTCCCATACAAAAATAAAGCACCTTTGATTGTGTTCTTAGAACAGTAGCTTTCCTCCGTCATTCCTTAGAATGTCCTAAAATAGAATTTAGTTTTCAATCTTTAGTTCGCGGAACGAGTTGCTTGCGCTGAAAGAATTAGGGTTGCCACCATTTAGAAACATTCATTAGCAATATGTGTATTCATTTTACATCAAGGTGCAAGGTGAATCAAAATTTGATAAACCACTATCTACCCCATACAAGTATTTATATGCATATCTTTAGTTTTTTGCTTTACCAAAGTCTTCAAATAGAATCAAAATAGGTTTTTTTACACAAAGAATAAGAAAAGCTTGAAATGTTTCTCGCTTCTGCGGGAATCGAACCCCTGTTTTCCGAATTCACGCCCAAACCCCTTAACCACCAAGCTAAACGGCTGATGTTCTATCTACATTATTTTTTGGCATTTCAAGCAATGCCCGGCGCATTTATTATTGTAGTGGACAACTTATAATAACAATATATAACACGTAACGTAAGCTTCTTATATATCATCTTAAATTCTTAGTTTATAAAAATGATGAAATTATAATTACGTAAGAAAAAAACATTTTGTTTTGCGTCAGCCCTATTCTAAATTTCGGGCAATTGTCGAAGTTTCGTAAGATACGTTAATGACGCACGCGGTACCGAGAATGTACATAATATTATTAATGAAGATTGTCAACAAACGTATTAGTTGATGTAAAGATGTTTTTAAAAAAAGGATCATGTCAAATTAATAGTCTTGGGAAATTCGCGTCAACCGAAGTTTTTTTTTAAATAAATGAAATATCAATTATGTGAACATCGAACAAAGAGTATTTGCAATTGTACTACGACCGAGTAAATAACAGTACTGATCTAGATGTGTTATCTAATAAACCTAGATCACGATACTTGCAGCTTAGACAAGAACGCTACATGTTCTCGCTAGCTATATATTAGCTAATGCCTAGGAGGCAGAAATAAACACGCCACAAATACGTAGTCTTCACATTACACAACTTTTCACATTAAAAAAAAACTTTGGTGGCTCGCGATGCCGGTCTAGACCGAAGGGCCCCTGAGATGAGAGGCGGCCATTGTGTCTACGCGAGTAGACTAGACTCAACTTTGCTGCCCTTCCTAGGGACGCAAGTCAAGCAGTCGAGTCTCTTGCCACCTTCTTCCTTCTTCCTACTGCCTTAACCTTATACACATGTTTGTGGTATTGGCTAGTTTTTTTAGACTGGCCTGACGTCAAGCCGTCCTTGGGAACTCCTACATCCAGAACTCGCTCGCATAAATGTTGTATAATACTTGTCCCGTGTGGGCTTCGAGTCTACGACTCGGAAGCTTATACGAAATGGTTTTAGCAACAGAGTCGACGAGTCTATCGTGTGGAAGGTAAGAGTCTCGTCGTGCTGGAAAATGCCACAAGACCCTTAAATTGGAGGAATCGCGTCGGGATAAACGGTCAGCACTTTTGAACTTAAACTTCTTTTGGGGCGTTAGGAAAAATTTATGAGAGTTAAACTTTTTCGACGCGACACCGACCCCCAAAAAGAGACATGGTGTTCCGTGGCTGGAGACAATGTACATAACATTGACACCACAGACATTGGTATGGTTAAAAAATCGTGCTCATAGGCGGACCCCTACAGCAATGCGTAAGCTTTTACCGTCACAGTAGCAACGTGTGTACAAACTACTTTAATGGTAAAGCAAATTACGTCCAAACTACGTAATGGCTAGATTAAACGATCGTAACTGAATTAAGACGAGTTGAGTAATTAAGTTTAATATGACATACAATAGATAACTGTAAGATATATGTAATGTATATGTTATGTAAACCAATGAACCGCACACACTGGTAATTTTCACAAGAATTTTAATTTAGGATCATTAAGGCCATCTAGTGAATACTTCGATAACTAATTTGTTATTTTGTAATTTTACCACAAGAGGTCGCTGTTGCAAAAATTCTAGCAGTCAACTAGAAACAGTGGATTTTAAAACGCATTCATTGATTTTCTCAAATCAAAATTATATAAATTGAGTAAAAATATTGTAACTATATAATATTTTTAACAGATTTTTAATATCGGCCGAGTGTCCTTGAGTAACGAAAATTATCAAAAAAAAAAGCAAAAATTGGAGATGCCGGGGATCGAACCCGGGGCCTTTCACATGCAAAGCGAACGCTCTACCACTGAGCTACATCCCCTGTACCACTATATAACGAAATTGACAAACATATTTAAACGAGTTCTAATATTTTTTGCAATAATACATGTAAACTCTTAATTGTGTAATTTTTTCATCACATTAATGAAATTTTAAATGTGATGTTTTCATTTATACATAGAACTAACTTAGTTATATTTTAAAAGCCTCAATTATCCTATGTGATGTCTTAATATTTTTTAAATTATTCTCGTATAATGTGTTGTTTCACAGTTGCAATACAAGCCTCGAAGATAAACGCGGAGATGAATGGAGTTGCTATTGAAACTAGCACGGATAACATGATAGGAAGTGATGTAACAGAGTTCGACGTTGCATTAATCGGCGATATGTTCTACGACGAGGAATTCTCAAACGTTCTCTTCGAGTGGCTGAAAATTTTGAGTGGAGTCGGTAAGATGGTGGGTTAAAGCTTTCTTTTCGAAGTCAGAATTTCTTAGTAATTTAATGTATTTACGCAATTATACATTACTAAATGAAAATATATTTAACCTAACCTACCCTGACGTTTTGAAACCTTTACAGTGTTCATGGTCACAGGGCGGAACAGAACTCTATATGATTAAAACCAAAATAAACGCGATGAATCCTTGAACATAATTTCAATCCGAATTTCTTTATTCAATATAGGCTTTTTAAGCTTTTATTTACGTGAGAGTATAACCGGGCGCTCGCCTTTAATTCAATATACTCGAGCAACCTGAAAGTGATCAGCAAAATCAAAGGGTTTATTTTAATCGAATTTGGATGATGAAAGAATTTTGTCAAAAAGTATACGTTTTGCTCCTTTTATTTAATAATGGTACTATAGATTGCGATTGCATACTATTATAATTTGTTTTAAATATTTACTATTTAACAAAACACATGCTATTAATTTTAGTTTATGCAAAAACCATAAAATCAAAGATTTTTATATAAAATACTAATTTATTTAAAATATTTAACAAAAATACAATTCCATTTTTTTTGCAGGCACAAGTTACATCGTTGTACGGTTGTTCTTACGAGATACAATTACCCTAATATATTAAAAATTGCTTAAGATATCTAGTATCTATTAGACCTATTTACATAATTCGTTAAGATTATATTAGTTACCTATTTATATTTTACAGTAGACTATTTAATATATGTAGGTACAAATATCTTTAAATTCGACGAAGAAAAATAAAAGTAAATTACAAGTATAATAAAGTTACATAAACATCTTCATTAATTGTATTCAATTTATTGTAATTTCAATCGAAACGAGACGCAAATTAAATTGTACAATCACCATCTATCAAATGACGATGACCATTTTCATCTTAAACAGTACATAAGATTCATATTTTTAAAACTTTGCTAAAATTGGGTCCATTTTTGATTTTACTTTAGAGTTAAGCTGCAGTTGATTGATTGAAAACAAAAGAAATCGTGGAAAATATTTCGGGTCAACTTTTACCCATTCTTTTTATATGCTTATAAAATTTACAAGGGTCATTTTGACAATATATAAATTTATGGAAGGAAGTTAATTTGTATGAAAAAATGAATACGCAAAAATTGATTGGTTCAAACGTAATAAAAATAAATAAAATGTACAACTACATTTTAAGCTTTTTTTAAAATTTTAATATCTAGTATTTGATAGATATTAGATAGCATTCCCCAATACAAAAGTGGTCATCGGTTTTCAAATGACAACTCGTTCTTTTCACAAATTTAATTTAATCGCTATCTATATTGCAATATTCGAACTACGCCACGTTGCGGAACAGCGCCATCTATGAACACAAGTGGTGAATCACTATAGCTGGTAATTGTGCATAGCGTTCGCGTATAGGCCGTGTTTCGGCCGCGGAGTCCTTCCGGAGTGGTGCGATGGGTGCGAGTAGTGAGAGTAGCTGTCGATATCCGGCGGCGGCCGCACAAGCAGAACCGGCTGCAGCGCTAGAGACTTGCGAGAGCCGGCCACCGACTGGGCGTCGGTCACGTACGCGTTGTTAACTTCGCCTGCGGACGAGAGATGGCGTTATTTTATGTTATTCCAAAGAAGCAGTCTAGGTCTCATCTATCTCCAAAAACTGTAAAGTATAAATTTTTATTAAAAAATGAAATTTGATCTAGTTTTGATTTTATATACACCAGTACACCTGAAAAATTATTTATTCATAACGAACAATCATGAACAAATGACGAACTATGGATATGTGAATAAAAAAATCAAAGAATAGTTTTTGAGATCTAGATTAGATGAGCATAATCAAGGTAATCTGAATTGAAAAGTTCTATTATTATGAAGGTTCAAGATGTGTGAAAATGAGTCTTGCATTGTTCTTTCAGGTCATCTGCTGCACTGCTGTTTTAATGCTGTTGATGATGTGTTTGTTATACAATACTTTTATTGTAGTATAGATATTTAATTTCTTCTCTGATTCTATTTAGACTTTAGAACTAGTTTGTGAACCGGTGGTAGATTTAATGTTCATAAATGCTTAATTTAATAAACATATTGGATATTGATCATCATACACACTCAATACCGTATTGTTTTCAAGGAAAATGAAGGGAACTTAGTTATGAATGTATATACATAGTTTATTTAATGTAGGTACACCAGTATAATGCTATATAGGACGATTTTATTTTATTGATTATTTTAATGTGAAGTTTAAAAAAAATTATACAACATTGCAAATGCGATGAAAATAAAAATTGCCATTTTTGCTAACGGTTACACCTTGCTCGTGTATGGCGCATTCATCGCGACATGGACGGTAAGCGTGTCAACTAAATATTCATGAGAGCATATAAGGAGGTCAGTCTGTCTATACGTATACCCATAATAGCCTTGCTTGGCAACTTTGTTGAAGTACAATTAGTTAACTGGAACGCTAAGATAATATTCTCCCTATCTATTTTTATAATAATAAAGTTTATTTCCTTTTAGTTGTACAATTTTAGAGTTAATGCATATGCATATAAATACATATTTATGTTACAAATAAATACAATAGATAAATAGCATCCGTCGCAGAACTGCGTTGTGTTTTAAAATACAGTTGTTGTTTTTGTGAAATTTGCATGCATTAATTAAATTGTTACAATAAAGTGTCTTAAACCGGACACTATATTGTAACCGTCTAGCTATTTGCCGTAGGATATTGTCCAATTATTGGTTGTCACATCCAATCAAAATATCTACTACGGACTTCTGTCATTTGCATACACACCACACAAGGTGGAATGAACTCTAATCGATTACTACTATACTACTATTTAGTTTCGATTCCGTTTTATACAGATTGTTTGGAGTGTTTAATATCAATTCAGCAGTTTCTTGACACGAAATGTATTATACTGAGCTGTTATAATCTTATTTGCGTCCAAATACTTAAAACGATGACATTTTTAGTTCGATATTCAATCGGTAAACGTACCTATGTATGTATTAATGTATGGTCTGTTATTCTTTTGCCATGAAGCATATCATATATTGTTAATTTTAAACACAACACACTATTTTTAATTTTTAATGTTTAAAATAGCAAACGTCGTGTGTTAGTCGTTGAAGAATGCTATTTCGTGTTGCATTACCCGCCCGTTTGTGTTTAGGCGGATTCCCGATTTCGCTTTCGTTATAACGAGCGTGCAATGTAATGAGACCGTTGCGCGCGGATCGTTTCCAGCCTGTTTGTCGCGACACGCCAACTGACGTCGACAGCGAATAGAGCGAGAACATATTACTTTTATTATTATTACAAATATTTTTTTCTGCAATGATGAACGTGATTCTCGTGTGAATTTCATACTTAAAACCGCGCAAACTGTTAATACATTTATTACTTATTACCAAGACAATCCGTCCATTGAAGAATTAAATTTTTCATCGGCACTAATGCATTTTATTAGCAGATGGAATAACTCCCACGCCCTACTTGTATTTATATAGATAATTTCCACGGGGAATTAATCAAATATGTGAATATAATTTTAGTCCTAAAAGCTTCCATTAAATAAATAAATATATCTGGACATTTATTATAGTAAACAACGTTATCTAGTCCCAAACTAATAGTATTAGGAAACTGATAAACATACTTAAACATGTGTTTATCACACAAAATTTCAGTAGTGGGGATCGAAACCACACTAGCGCAAGAAACAGGGTCACTATTAACTACATCAAATGGGTCGTTCCATAATGAATTTTTTCTTCCTAAATTTAGGAACAAAATTCCTTAGCATCTGTCTTGTCTGTAGAAATCAACTACGCCAATTCGGTCATTTATGAACTTTTTCTTTCATTAGAGACACTTTATTTTAAATCTAGGAAGAAAATTCCTAGTGTAGTGTAGAAGGAAATTCCCAAAAGTGCAGGTGGCTCAGGATCTTGCTTCGTGGCAGTCTGTGGGGGAGGCCTTTGTTCAGCGGTGGACTCAAATAAGCTGAAATGGTGATGATGATGGTGATGATTATGATGATGATGGTGGTGGTGATGATAATGGCATCTGACTCACCTTTGTACAGCGAAGGTGGCGGGTAGGCGGTGTCTGGTTGCAGCTTAACGTGTCTCGTTGCCAATATGAAGGCCAGCGCGGAGAGAACGATCCCGTCCAGACAGCCGATCACCGCGAGGAGATACGCCCAGCGCACGTGGCACCGCCCTGAGGTCGCAAAGGTCCCGGCTTAAGTGGCTGAATTGCAGCTCTGAGTTGCAGAGTGCACGTAACAGCTTCGGCCGTTGCACGAACGGGCTGGTCCGTTTTATGATCCCAAGACCGGCGTGAGTGGAATGGTTACACTTCTGCGGTTTGTTCTGGCGAGTGAGGTGGCCGCGGCCCACTTTATTAAGAGGCAACGCATCTGCAACCCTACGGGTGTTGCAGATTTCCATCAAAAGGGCGGCGGTTACCACTCAGCATCAGGTGAACCGCCAAATTATTTGCCACTTTTTCACATAAAAGAAAACGATTGATTAAACAGTTTAACTGGCTTAAACCACCTTATTGTTAACAACTGTGGTAGGGACAAGCTGCAGCCTCGGCTGTTGCACGAATGGGCAGGCTCGTCCGGGTAAGTACCACGACCTCACAGAAGACCGGCGTCAAGTGGAAGTATAATATGTACTTTCGCGTTTCGTCTGGTGAGTGAGGTGGCCGGAGCCCAATTTTCAAAAGGTCAACGCATCTGTAACCCTCGGTTGTAGCAGATGTCCATGGGCGGCGGTATTCAGTTAACATCAGGTGAACCGTCTGCTCGCTTGACAACTTTAACAAAAAAAAAAATGAAATGAAGTAACATATACTCGAAATTTACCGCATCCGCGACGTATCAGTAACTACATAGACTTGGGCCACGTTACAGCGACATATTTTTAATGCGATATTTACAACGGCACAGATCTGCGGTCATAACGTTGCTATATCAGCCGCTTTGATAAACGGACAGATGGAATACACATAGTGGTACATCACTGCTTTCATAACGGTTCTAGCTTAAGTATATTAAAAAGTAATCGTTGGCGAATGGACTACTGAGATACATTTTATCATTCTCATAAAAGGCTGCGTAGTCAGGTAAAGTCAGGTTAGTATTAGAAAAACATACTGATCCTTAAGCATTTTCACGTTTATGGGTTCATTTTAGTGTATTTATTTATTACTACCTGACTCGGCAAACGTTGTTGTGCCATATTAATTATTTGTATGGAATTTGTGAAACTGAACACATAGAAAGAGAATTCGGAACGCATACAGTTCACAGTTTGTATGGGAAAATAAACTTTTTGCTATTTCGATTTTCCATGCAATTTTTCCATAATTTCTCATCGTTTAAACCTTTAAACGGACTGCCACAAATATTTCAAGACCAAAATTAGCCAAATCGGTGCAGCCGTTCTCGAGTTTTAGCGAGACTAACGAACAGCAATCCATTTTTATATATAAGAAGATTCGTTAGTCTCGATGTTCTCTCATCCCTGATTTAACTGTACCAATGCTATGATAACTAATAAGAAACAGTTTCATTCTCTTTTAAAATAAATTACAGCGTCAGTGAAGTATGTCACAGTAATGCACATAACATAATGCGTGCCTGGAAAATGTCACAATATTTCTTACTGCACCGTTAAGTGACCTGGCTCACATGAATATATGAATTGTAAATCTTTATTTATTATTTTATTTAATCTTCATCACATTGAATTTTTTTTTAAAACTGTTACAAAATATAAACAAAAACACCGCGGTATCCAGTTGTTTTCTGGTAATAGTGAAACGATGATCGACTTTGATGGTTTGATGAATAGACTTTGATGGTGATATATTAAAACAAGCCTAAATTGCTAAGGAATTTTGACTTTGACATTATTAAGATAAGTAAATAAATAATATAACACAAATAGTTCTCGTGTGGGAATCGAACCCACGACCCTCGACGTCGGAGCCAATACCTTGGGAACGGCGACACGGAGTCATCGAAGCCAAGATCAATAATTCACTTGTCGCGCCGCCACTTGGGTGGATTAAGGACAGCATGACGACTGAATGAAGCTGTAATGGGTACTTTACCGATGTTGTACTGGTCCGCGGTCGGTCCGCACGTCTCCTGCACGGCCGCCTCGTTCCAGCCGGCAGGGTATACCGCCGAGCCGGCCACCATGAAAGCCGCTAAACAAACAGAAACAAATTCTTAAATAAGTACAGCCGAGTCCTGGCGCTGGAGCCGACTGAATCTGCGATATTTACCAAAAGAATATAATCGATTATACAAACGAAGGGATAAATTTAAAACTCTACAAAATGTCCTTTTTTTTCTTTTTATGTGACAAGTTGCCAAGCGAGCACCTGATGTTAAGTGAATGTCGCCGCCCATGGAAATCTGCTACACCCGAGGGTTGCAGATGCGTTGATAATCTTTTGAAAACGCGAAAGTATTGTACTTTCACTTTGCGCCGGTCGAAGTCGAGGTCTTGCTAATTACCCGGACGAGCCTGCCCATTCGTGCAACAGCTGCTGCGTGGCCACAGTTATCCTCGTTGGGAACATAAGAATACAGAAGACGCCATTTAATAGCAATCTGTAAGTGCAGTCAAAAATTAAATAGAAGCAACGTAAAGAAGTTTGAAGATATTAACATCAAAACAAATCATCAGGTATTAAAATAAGTAGAAGAAGTACGAAAAGATTGTCGCCGCTGTGGGAATCGAACCCACGTCTTCGGCATTCGCGGCCTGACGCTTTAAGTCTTGAATGGTAGATGTGGCTAATGGGATCACTTTCAAGCCAAAAGACACTGATAAGAAAACTATTTATTTTAACTTAAACATTTTTGAATTTATTTTGGACGAAACCAAATCATTATGAAATTTATATAAAATACAAGAGTTATGACATAACTATACATGTTTCTTCTTCAAACATGACAAAATTCAGTCTGAACAAATAAAACTAACATTCCAAATTTAAAGTAATTCAAACATAATACATAAATAAAACAGGTCAGATTTAACATCAAAAGAGTATGTATAATCTGAGATTACCAATCAACATTAACCACCAAGCTAAACGGCTGATTGCCACAGCGACGAAAATCTTTACGACGACGTCTTTTATCTACATTGTTTTTTTAGCATTTGAGATCATCAGGTGTTTAAAATTATTTTTTGATTCATACCTTGGGCAATGACTAACAGTAATTCTTGACTTAACTTCGTCTTAAAAGGTTTAGCGATTTCTTTACTACGAGCGAAAGAAAGTTGAAGTTATTGGCTTGCGTTCACGCTGTCTCTAACGGAAGGCTATAATTTCAATTTCACTTGATCGCTTTGAACGAAGGGAAATCTAGTCGGAGCTAAACCACAATTAACTACGTGCATAGTTAACTGAGATATACGTAGTTACGAAGCTAGAGTTGGTCGAAGATAGAGAACATACCTCTGAATATTTTTTTAGAAAGCTATTATTTAACGTGACATGTTATAAATTTATCGCACGTTTTAATTTTATAAATGTCTAAAATCGCTGGTTTTATATTCCGAGGAAGATTGTAGCAGTTTTATTGTATGTATTTGGTGTGAAAGAGATTGGGTTACTAAGTCCCAACAACCAATGCAACCTATGTAATCTATAGTAGTCTGTCTGTCCTTCGATAATATTGCACCATACTGTAGGATAAAATAATTCTGTGTTGTAAAGACGTTTTACATACACAAATTTCACGTGGACAAACACCCAGATTCGAAACAACTGTCTGTGCACCAGTTAAACAGTTGTTCCTTGTGAGAATCGAACCCACGAGCCACGACACCGGAGCCAATAAATACCTTAGCAATTACGCCACGAAGCCATCACTTCATCTTTGGAACAGTTGGACACATTATGGATTTAGGACGTAAAAATAAATGACCTTAGCGTCTACTGGTACCGTTCACAATTACAACATAACATCGCCTTACCATCAACTGGGTTACCAGTCAAGCAGTAGTAAGTTCGTGAAAAGAAAATACTTACCGTTCGTAAATGTAATATCAACTGGGTTGCCAATCAAGCAGTAGTAAGTTCGTGACAAGAAAACTTTAACCGTTCGTATAGGTAATGTATACCTTGAAAATGATCAGTTAGATAACGGTAGACGAGTTCCGCTTAAGAACAATGCCGAAGAACAACGGTCCGGAAACAATAGACGGTGTTCCCACGCGTGGGCTTTTTGCTGGAGGTCACGTTACGGCTTTAACGACCGTCACTATGGTATCGGTGCCGCTGACTTCGCGTCGAATAATAACATTACAATTCTATTAATAAAAAATCAAAAACAACCTCCCACTCACTGTATTTTCAATAAAATTTTCAGGAATTCTCAATAAAAGCTAGAGTTAAACGGAACCCAAAATGAGTTCGAGTAACGAGTTCTGTAGTAACAAAGGTACTGAGCCTGCGCGCTTACCATCAACAGCTGTATAGCCATTTACCATCAGGTGGGATGGCAGTCAAGTGATGGCCGGCTTAGAATAATAAAAAAAACTTTTAAACAAAAAAGAGAACCGACTTCAAAAAACTCTAGTAGCACTAAAAAGTTCATAATAATCCTAAATCTAATATAATCAAATCTTGAAAATCTAACTTGTGTAACATAACCTCTAACATAATTTAACAATTTTTGGAGTCGGTGCCAAGCCGAGTATCTCTGATCTGAGCAAAAAATCATTCTCGATATCGAGAGATCTTGGAAGACAATTCGCGGTAGAAAATTTTTCTTTTAATGGTTAAGATAACTTGCAAGTGCTCAGCTTGTTTTATTTTCACACATTCTGTCTAATCTCAGACTTTTATTGAATTATTCTCTGGGAGTTAACCCTAATTTTTGAAAACTAGAAAAACAAAACGCTTACATGAAATGATTTTTGGTTACCGTTTAAGAATGTGCAGATTACCTACCCATTACGAACAAAATCTTAACTATTTCAAATGTCAATATTGACAAAGACTCTTATTTATCGTTTTCTAGAAAGCGTTAGGTCCCCGTCCATGGGCTGCGGTGATCGCTTATCACCAGGTGACCCACATGCTCGTTTGCCTCCTATTCCCATTAAAAAAAAAAAACCATAATTTTTAGATAATATTCTCGAATATTAATTAATGAAATTCAATATCGTTATTTTATTGATATTGATTAATAGTACTATCGAAATTCACGACGGGAAGATTTTAAAGGTATTAAACGAATGGTGCGTAAAATATAACCTAAAATTCACGTCAAAAGATATCATATATTCATTTATAAAAAAATTTTAATACTCGTGAATGAATCGAGACGTACTCTGAAATGTCAATTTTCCGTGTTATTCTTATAACTTCTCCGCTAGGCCATTAGTCAAAGAAGAAGAAGAAGAACTTCTCCGCTAAATTTTCTATTAGATATTTTAAAGAGAGCATCCTAAATCACGAGCAGGTTTAGAAAGTCCGACTTACCCAACCGCAGTTAAGTTTTATATCCGTGTTAACAAAAACTTAACACGACTTAAGTACCTACTTTCAAAGATTACTGAAGTCGTACTGTTATGTAACATACGAATTCTATTGTGGTTAAAGCACAGTTTTCGTGCTTAGTAATACTAGTTTTTTTTGTTTTATGACATAAGGTGTCGAGCGAGCAGTTGGTTACCGCTAGAGTTACCTCACTCAGCAAACGCAAGAACGCGAGAGGTCTACCTTCCTCTTCTTACCAGTCCAGACAAGTCGTGGTCACCCTTTAAATATTACGTTTAAAAAGGATTGTTTGCAATAAAAACATCAATGACGGAATTTTAAAAGTGTTTAAGACTAAATAATACCTTTGTTACCTGTTTTATTCAAGGTTGGCAATAAAGGTCGTCTCCCGATCTTGTGATGGGTGGTCCTACACTGCGATTGCCAGTACGAGGCTGCCAATCGAGTACCTTTCTTCCCCAACTAGATGGAGAGACGACCTGTGCAAATGTGCGGGAAGTCAATGGATGCAGGTGGCTCAGGATCGTTCTTCGTGGCAGTCTATGGGGAAGGCCTATGTTCAGCAGTGGACTCAAACAGATAAATAAAAATAAAAAAGTAAAAGTAAAGTAAGTAGCCTATACATGTCCCACTGCTGGGCAAAGGCCTCTATACAGAGAGTATCAGGGCATAGTCTGCCACGCGGCCCCACTGCGGATTGGCGGACTTCACAGTCATATCTTCGAATTGTTTTCTTGTTATTTTTTCTAAAATATGCAGGCTTCACGATGTTTTCCTTCACCGCGGAGCACGTGATAAGTCATCACTTAAAGTTAATAATGATAACTTCATTTGTGCCGGCACCGGGGATCGAACTCAGGTTGCTCGAGTATATTGAATTAAAGGCGAGCGCCCGGACACTGAGCTATCACGGCTCAAGAAAAATAAATTAATGTCTAAATGATCATTGATTGGTCATGATATTTTAAGTTTTTAAAATGTTAAATATGTAGTTTTTGGACACAGTTATGCCATGCCCCGATTCAAGCGCGGTCAAGGTCACTTGCAGCGACAGGCTCGTCACCTGTCACGGCATTAATCGCAACGTCAAGGCGGTCATATCACCGGAAACATCGATCTTTCACCCATGATAGAGATCTACATACGCGTTCTATAGCAATGCGTGATCTTTATATGGCTACGTGCCACAATATACATATACAATTAAACGATAATAAAACTACTACGAAATGGCGGGAAAAGACCATGGCACGTACAATAGAATATACTGATAAAGAACTTTCCGATTGATCGTCACGTCATGCCACAGATAAAGAATTTTCAGATTTAGATTAAAAAATAATAACACGACCAGTCGAAACTGCGTTCACACAAACATTCTGGACAATATAACTATTAGTTATATTGCCTAAAATCATAGGGAGAAAACCGCAATCGAAAACGTCAATAAGCGCTTACCGGATATCAATAATCATATACGATACAGGATTTGGGCTCGTTGATAAAACTAAAGTTGACGAATGATCTCGCCGTTAGAATTCGACTAGAAAAGAAATCGGTCTTCAGATTCCTGTAGTAATCTGAGTGCTATACGAATAAGATATTGTGTAATTAAATATTTTATTTATTTATTTATTTTTAAACTTCATGCACAAAACTACATAGGCGGACTTAATGCTGACAGCATTTTCTACCAGTCAACCTTAGGGTTGTACTGAGAAGTTGAGGTAGGTGCACAAACACAGTTATAAAATTAAAAAAAATACATAATTATTAAATATAAAGCATAATATCGCTTAATCGCTTTTAATAAATATCGCTTTTATCACTGCTAAAACTTCACTAAAACATATAGGCAATAATGAAAAACATATTTCGAAGATAATTATATGATGTTGTTACTTCAGTTTGCTCTATTTACGTTTCATAAAGAACTAAGAGCGAGAACATCGACGAACTAGTTCGCATAGTTCACCTAAAGGAGAAATCATCCCACATAGGTCGTTCGCGAACTTTCCAAGACTAGTAATTAGACGCCGAGCTAATTGCAAACAAAACAAAATGTTTTTTCCGTTTGGCGGGAAATTGCTCTATTGCTCTTTCCACTTACAATCGTTGTTACAACACATGTTATAATATCGGACATTTATAAGCGGGGAAACTAAAAACTTCGGGCGCATCCCGGCTGACTTTTCCGGGCAATTGAGTAATGAAACGGATATGTTTAACATTACAAACGTAGTTTGCAGTACTTCATCGACCGTAACTTTAATTTGACTGTGCACAGGTAAAACTTAATATAAGTACATATAATTTATTCTTCTGTGCGTATGTATGCGACTGCAGTCCTTCTAAACGGCTGGAAAGATTTCGACGAAATTTGTGTATTTTTTGTGTATTCTATGTTGTTCAAGTGGATTCGAGAATGGTTTAGATTCACAATGTGGTCCACTACAAAATGTTTTTTTAATTATTTTTAGGGTTCCGTACCCAGTGTTAAATGTCGTCGTCTGTCACCAGGCTCGTACCTCACGAACAGTGCTAGTTAGACTGTTGTAATTTTCACAGATGATATATTTCTGTTGACGCTATAACAACAAATACTAATAAACAGAATAAAAAATATCTAAATGGGGCTTCCGTATAACAGACATGATTTTATTGCCGTTTTTATAGATAATGGTACGTAACGGTCTGGTTAGTGAGGTAGCCGCGGCAAACTTTATAAAAAGTTGCAACACATTTGCATTTCCACCCATAGAAATTTGCAACACCCGTAGTGTTGCAAATTTCCATGGGTGGCGGTTATTACTAAACATCAGATGAACCGCCAGTTCGATTGCCACCTTCTCACATGAAAAAACCTGTAAGATAGTCGAGTTTAACCACAACATCTGATTCAATAGAAGAAATACCCTCGACTACGGCATCCGATAACCGAAATTAAGTTAAGCAAACATTATTCACACGGATCTGAGTGTGTATAAAGCAAGTCCACGTTCTCACAACAATCTCTAAAATCTCGCATTGTTCGACATTGTATTGAGTAATCGCCACAATTTTCATCACTGGACGTGGCGTAACTCACTGCTTAAGAATTTGCTATCGTATTATGTTTTCGTTATTCCTTTAGCCGCCGGTACGCTTTCGTAACAGACATTTATAAATCTGTCAATAATGTGTATTTTGATTAATTGCAGTCCAGTTTCTAAGGTCTTGTGTACGCCACGTTTCTTAATATACGTGTTACGATCATCCAAATTTTTCTTAAAGTTAAGTTGGCGCGTATCGGAAAAATTCATCATCATCATCATCATTTCAGCCTGTTTGAGTCCACTGCTGAACATAGGCCTCCCCCACAGACTGCCACGAAGTACGATCCTGAGCCACCTGCATCCATCGACTTCCCGCACATTTGCACAGGTCGTCACTCCGTCTAGTGGGGGGTCGTCCTATACTGCGATGGCCAGTACATCCGCAGTAGAACCAAGGTAACCGACATAGCTCAGAGGATTAGCAAGCTGAAGTGGCGATGGGCCGGCCATATAGCTCGTAGAACCGATAACCGTTGGGGAAGAAAGGTTCTCGAGTGGCAGCCTCGTACTGGCCATCGGACAAATTATGTGAAATTATATGATGAACATTTATAAGCGACGTATAGTTGATATGCTGTTTCCATGGCAACCAATAACAACTTTCAACGTACTGGCGCAGGGGACAATTCGGTGGTAGGGCCACGCAACAGCCTCGGCTGTTGCACGAATGGGCAGGCCCGTCCGGGTAAGTACCACGACCTCACAGAAGACTAGTGTAAAGTGGAAGTATGACAAATACTTTCGCGTTTCGTCTGGTCAGTGAGGTAGCCGGAGCCCAATTTCAAAAGGTTGTCAACGCATCTGTAACCCTCGGGTGTAGCAGATGTCCATGGGCGGCGGTATTCACTTACCATCAGGTGAACCGTCTGCTCGTTTGGCAACTTTTCTCATAAAAAAAAAAAGAAAGAAATTATTTTATTTGAATTATTTTTTTGTTACGCATCTATGTGCGTACAGTACACACACAGGTTTTATCTTTAATCTTTTCTTTTTATTAAGCTTCGACCGACGCTTAATTCAGCGTCAAAGAGAAGGTAAGTACCAAACTATGATTATCAATATAGCAAAGATAATTATGGTTTATTTTACACCATCTTCCTGCCCATCATCTTTTCTCCTGCCCTTATGTTATGGTATTGGCTAGTTTTTACGACCGGCCCCTTGCCTGACATCAACCCTCCTTGAGATTAAACACCCAGATCCGGAACAATTATTTGTTGGTCACAATAGCTGTCCCGTGTGAGAATCGAACCCACGACCCACCGGCACCGAAGTCAATTGCTTAGCAACTGCGCCACAGAATCATCATATACTGCCCATCAGTACAACAAAATGCTATTTCAACGAATGATTATGTATTCCTCATTGATTGATATATTGATACACTCCTATACTATTGTACCGAAAACTATATTCGTCAATCCAATGAAATTTGCGTGATTCCGCAAAATAACCGCGACAACTTACACATGGAAAAAGGTATATATTCTGCAACACGTGCATACATCAGATAAACACGTTAACATGTCAATGTCTCATTCATTTTTGAACAGTCATCGTGGCCGCTCTACCCGGCAGCGAACTCCTCGGGAGTAGGCATGTGCGAACGGATCCGGCTGCATCTATCCTTGTCTATGTTCAGGCTCTTTCGCTTGCACGCAATCTCCTTCTCCAGGTCGCCGCGGTACGTCATCAGCTCCGTTCGCACGGCCTCCGCGTCCCTCAGCTTGTCGTAGAAGGCTCTAGAGCTCTCCTTCACGAGCTTCGCTTCGGCTATCAGAGCGTACTGCGCCTCGTCCCTGCAATTCTCGACGTTCGGACGGCTGTAGTTCCTCTCGTGCAGCCTCGTCATCACCAGTTTGTTGCGCTCGTCGACTCTCCGTATCGACTCTTTCAATTCGTCTATCAGGTTTTCAATGTCAGCAACTGTCTGCAGATTGTCCTTCAGGGTCTCTTCTAGTTTGTCGCACATTTGTTCTGTTACAGCGACGGTTTCTGATAAAGCGGCGTTGGTCCTGTCTGCCTGAAGCTTCATATCCTCGCTGCCTTTGATTATCGCCGTCATCAAGTCGCCGCGCAGGTTCTCTGATTTCTTCCTCACCTCCTCGCAGTTTCTGATACTCTCGGCGCAATAGTGTTTCCAGTATTCCAAGGATGACGCGTTCTCGGGCCACCTGGCCACGCCCGGGTGATACATCAATACGTTTGAATCTGGAGTCAGTTTCAGGTTGGCCTCATCAAGTTTCAAGCTGATCATTTTGTCGTTCCAGTCGAATTCGATCGCGGCCTTCGCAGCCCTGTTCATGGCCATTTGCTCTTCCACTTTCGCTAGAGTATTCATGAATACTCGTCTGATTTCACCGACGATTGCCACTTCACGTATCAATTCCTGTTCCGCATCATCCCTCACTAAGTCCGGTTCGTACCTCTGTGTGCGTAATTCTAAACATTCTCTCGATATCGCTTCAGGCAACATCAGTATACGGCATGCCCCTTTCAAACGTGCTCTACTCTCGTCCAATGTGTCTATTTCGTCGGTTATCGCTTTTAATGTCTTTTCAACCTCCTTTTTCCAGTTACTCAGATCTCTAACCCTCTTATCCAGCTGTTTATTTGAGTTGTCCAGTTTGGCGTCCAATTTGTTGAACACATTAGCGCTGTCATTTTTAGATTCTTTTTCGAAACGTTTCGCCTTGTTCACTGCTGTCGGGGTGAGAATGAATTCGTTGTTCTTCCTCCAGTCACCGGTGCTGTATCTCGTTATGGAGTATTTGTCGACGACCGGCCTTACGCCTGTGGTGCCTGACTGTGGAGTCCAGTCCAGATGTCCAGCTGCCCAAGGGTCTATGGTGCCCATTCTCAGAAACTCTCCGCTTGTAGTATCCGATGGCTGTGGAAGGTATCTTGGGGGGGCGTCCGGGGGGTATATTTTCGGCTTGGGCGGTCGTATACATCCCGGGATGTACGGTGTGCATTGGCTCTCACTAATTTTCTTCACGTTGTTTGTATTTTTGCTAACCTTTTCTTCAAATTTGTTACTGTTCGCGGGACATATGTTAGGGCAAGTCATGTCGGTAGAAGGATTCATTTTCAGACGAAATTTCGAAATAAATACCGAAAGAAAAATAATTTGACAAAATAACCATATTAGAAATTATCAGGTCATTTGACATCTGTCACGAAGCATTATTTTACTTGTATTTAAGTATTGATTCACTGTATGAGTATAAACTTTTTCATAACATTATAATTATATTAAACCTCAAGGAATGTTATCTTCTAGTTTTTTCACGTCCAGCCTCCTCTTTGTTAGAAACTAATCAAGAATTAATCATCTTCAAATGATTCACGAATAAAATTAACAGAAGTTGTTTTATGGAATAATGGGTAATCGAGCAGCGCTTGATGGTAAGTGACCACCGCCGCCCATGAACACCTGCCACACCGGAAGGTTTACAAATGCATCGCCGGCCTTTTAGGATAGGAAATAATTATATCTGTACCCTAGGATTATGTCTGTACCCTAGCATCATGGACTAAAGGGCCACGCAGCTTCTGCTGTTGTGTGAATGGGTAAACTCGTCTGGAGAAGTAATATGGCCCTACAAAAGATCGGCGTAAAGCAGTACTCGTATATGCTTTCACGTTTCGCTGAGTGAGTTAACCGGCGCCGACTTATTAAATGGTTTGCAACGCCTCTGTACCACGCACGGCGTTCTAGATGTCACAAACCGTCGTCTATGGACATTTAGAATGTCAGTTTATGGTTTGACAGCTTATCACATAAAAAATCAACAAACATCAAGACCAAACAAAAGTTCTAGCACGCGTCAACTAACCTCAGACTTCAGATACTACCTGAGATAGTACGACGCTTCCCAGCAACTAGACTTCTTACACTTACCTTGAAATAAATTGTTTTCCGTACGTTCACATTCCTTCCATTGTTAGAAAATCTAACTGCTATCATATAATCTTATAAGACCAATAATAGTAATTTGAATTTCCTCTGGGAAAAGTTACGTCTTGTGGAATATTTCACTTCAACAACTTGATAATTTTTAAACATGTAGAAACTTGATAATTTTCTTATATATCCTGTCTGATCTTGAGCAGACAGCTATCTATCAGAGACAGAGATACTGCGCTGTCTACAGCACAGGTGCCTATGCCGTGGATAGAAACTATCTATAGTTTCTATCCACAGCATAGGCACCTTCTCCATAACAAAAAAAGAATCACTAAAATCAGACAATGCGGTAACGACTTATTGCGGAATATATAAAGATATTCTGGCAAATTGATTACTTCGGTTACACCATGGATTTAAGTACCATGAATGTCAGTGTGATGATTTCAGGCAGGTTGCGTTTAATAGTAGGTTACTTTACGATAGCGTTGTTTCTGCAGCGCATCTAAATTGGCGGGTACTTTTCAGACCGCGTGTAGTCAGACTCACTGATTGTAGGTGGTTGTATACTTTTAGTTGGTATTAAGCTTATCGAAAGTTTGAAATCGAACTCAAAAGGCGCGGTTCCAACGAGCATCAACATACTCATTGCATTGTTTCGTATTTCTTGGAGTATTATGCTTTTTAGTAATATGTTTGTGATTGTATTTCCGTAGACTGTATAAGGATTCATCGGGCACAAAGTTGGTGGAAATACCGGTTTTGTAGACCATGTCTAGGGAGACACCCGCATGTAGACATGTGTATATTAACAAAGTGCGAAGGGTAAAACACTTCTGAAATAAGACATCGCTAGTTTTCGAGCAAACTTTGTTTCCCGGTTGACCAAGTGGCCACGTCTGTATCATCTTAAACAAAAATTAATCAGTGTTAACATTTCACGTATTGCACAAGCCGCAGCGATTTCAATCACAGCTCGCTGACGGATGAAGGTTTAAGATCCATTAGCGTTGATGCCTTTCACTCTTCACTTCATATCGGCTCGTTCGGTAAAGTGCTGTGTCGTAACGTCACGGGAACTGCCACCACCAATTTCGATGCACATGCGGGAGTTTGGAATAGGAAAAACGAATGTAAAGCTCGATAAAATAGAAATTTTGCAAGTGAAATTATTGCAGAAAGATTCGAAATGGGTCGAGTCACGTTAGCTCCTTGTCTTCGCCAACCTTTATTGGATAGAATTATGCGATGTTAGTGGGGCCTAATAATTTACAACACTGATAACTTGCGCAAGGAACGACGTTTTTCCATATTTTTCTCAATAATAGAATATTTCAAGTAAATACATTGAATCGGCTTATGTTTGTAAAGTAGCAAAGGCAATCTTAAATTAAAGAGTCTGGTTAAATAATACGCTAAAGGAAAAGATGTGTGAAAAAAGCTTTCGGTTGGCTTTGGCTGCCGCTGATGGTATTGTGTCGTATTACTTTTAAAGAAAAAAAAATGTCTTAAACCGCAGAGTTCCTTGCCGGGTTTTCTCTGGACAAACAGGATTAGGTTACAGGCTGTATATATTATATAGGACGTTACTATAAATTATGTAGGTACTACTTTTTTATAAATGAAATGATCTTTTATATAAAATAATTAGATACGAAAATTTATTGGTCGGTGTAAAACAATAGACATAACGTTATCATTGTTAGAAAACCCTCTGCTAGTTTCTAATACCCGGCTAATTCCAGAGCCGATGGATAATGCGAACGGACCATCCCGCATCTGTCTCTGTCGATGTTGAGGGTCTTTCGTTTAGATGCGATATCTTTTTCCAATTCAATTCTCTTTTCCATTAACTGCCCCCTCACATTCTCCGCCTTCTTCAGTTGCCCGAGCAGAGATGTTACCGTTTCGTGTATCTTCTTCACTTCTTCTATTAACCCGAGATGCGGTTGATCCCTAACACTTTCCCCGTGAGGCCTAAATGTATTTCGGTTGTTAAGCCTCGTTTGTGCAAGTTTCATGGCGGCGTCCATCTTCCTAACGGAATCTTTGAGGTCATCTATTAAGGCCTCCATATCGGCAATTCTTTGTAGTGTATTTTTCAGGGTCTCCTCTAGTTTCGTGCAGAGTTCTTGCGTTATAGCCACTGTTTCTGCTAAGACAATGTCAGTCCGATCAGCTTGGGTTCTTAGTTTTCTACCGCCATTAACTAATATAGCGTTCAAACTGCCTCGTAGATCTGCAGACTTTTGGCGGGCGGCTTCGCAGTTCTGCACGTTCTCCCTGCAAAAGTATTCCCAATATTCCAAAGGCGCAGAAAAGTCACCGAAACGCGTAGCGCCCGGTGCAAACATTATCGTATTAGTTTTAGTGTTGAGTCCAATGTTCGTAGTCTCCGTATTGTAAGCAGTGGTTTTATCGCACCAATCGTATTCGATTCGATGCTTCGCTGCTTTATTTATGGCCATTTGTTCCTCAATTTTCTCCAGTGTATTTTTAAACGTCGCCCTAACCTCGCTCACGAGTTCCATTTCCTTGATCAGCTCCTGCTCAGCTAGGTCCGACACCAAATCCGGTTCGGCCCTGTTCGAGCGGAGGTCCAAACACTCCTTGGATATCGATTCCGGCAGCATAAGGACCCTGGAAGCGCCTTTCAGCCGCTGCCTCTCAATCTCTAACAGCTCGACCTCATCAGTGATTGCCTTGCAGGCTCTTTCCACTTCAACTTTCCATCGGAATATGTCCTTAGCTTTTTGCTTCAGTCTTTCGTTGTTATCGTTCTGTTGCTTATCTATGGTACCGAATGCTTGCATCATTGACGTCTTAGCGTTGTAATCAACTATGTTGGACTCTGTTATGACGCTCGGGTCCAGAACACTTTCATTGTGCTTCCTCCATTCGCTGAGGGAATACCGGCTAATTGAGTATTTATTTACCTTGGGTCGTGTTCCGGTCATATCTCCAAGGGGAGTCCAGTCGACTGTACCATCTGCTGCCGGCTTAAGTTGAGGTAAATGCTCTTCGTATGAAAGCTTGACCTGTGTCTCAGGTTCCTGCTCTTCATAAGCGGGTTTTTCATCTGTTACAGCGTCTTTAGCATCTTCCGCTGCCTTTATTTCTTCCTTGACCTGTTCAGGCGTCTTCTCGGATTTTTTAAACGCACCTATGTCCTTGCACACTTGGGGGCATTTGTTTTTCTCCGGGAACGATGTAAGCGTGGCCATATTTTTGCATGAATTAATTAAACGGAGCGAGGGAAAGTTTTTGAAAGAAAAAAGCCTTGTTTTAAATTTAAAACGTCAAAATTTGTATTTTCTCTTATTTGTCAAACCATCACAAAATTAAACGTCATAGATTAAACCTTTTTCGCGTTAACTTTTTGTCAAAAAACATACATTATATATGTTATTATATTTCCAGGTATGTAATTTTTTATTGTTTTTACAAAAGCGAATCCAAATAATGTCTAAATTATCATAATTAATTTATAATCTATAAATAATTGTCCCGGAATTCGTGTTTATTTATGTTAAGGTAATACCTTCACTGCAAATTTAAATATAACATAAAAATAAAAATGAACTTTCGATTTAGAACTTCTAATGTAATTACTATCATACTTTTGTGTTCTATACACGGCAGATTAGCTAGATATCGCTCGTAAGCATCGTTAGCTAAATTAAAAGACTAAGCTGTTCATGGCTTCGTGGCAGTCTGTGGGGGAGGCCTATGTTCAGCAGTGGACTCAAACAGGCTGAAAGCATGATGATGATGAAGCTATTCATGGGTACCATTCAAATTATGCTTCATGAGAATCTGATTCTGTCAAAAGTCGATGCAAGATGGGTGTCGCGAGAGCTCATGGCGGTTCAGATAAAAGTGCGAGTCAAGTGTTACAAGTTGTCGGGTGTAGCTCCTAGATCTATGATCCAAGATACGAGTAGATGATAGTGTAATATGGCCCAACGCGTATCGCCGTCGCTTAATCCCGATTTATACTGGTCAAGTGTTTAGTATAGTATACAAGTACAGCGATTATGTGTAAGTAGTAATGTAAACCGTCGGACAGGGATGACAGTCAAGTTGACTCACCACTTTTTTTTATGTGAAAAGTTGCCAAGCGAGCAGACGGTTCACCTGATGTTAAGTGTTCCAGATGCGTTGACAACCTTTTGAAAATTGGGCTCCGGCCACCTCACTCACCAGACGAAACGCGAAAGTATTATAGTTCCACTTTACACCGGTCTTCTGTGAGGTTGTGGTACTTACCCGGACGAGCTTGCCCATTCGTGCAACAGCCGAGGCTGCTGCGTGGCCCTACCACTGTCCGATTGTTTCCACTACTGTAACTCACTGTACTCGTCTACTGTACTAAACACTTGACCAGTGTAAATCGGGCCTTAGAAACGGTCGCGTGGCCGCGCCGTCACCAATCACAGCCGCAACAACTTTCTAAGTGGGTGACGCAGAACTGTGAACTTGTCTCGTATCCTATGCTCTTGTACGGACGAGGCTCGGTTGCGGAAAGTGGTAACGGTTCTGAACCGCGTTCTGAGAAAAGGAACGCGCACGAGGGAACCTAGCATACTAGCATGCGCTTCAGCAGATCTCAACAATTACCGTTGTATAGACTACCTTAACACGTTGACTATATTTAAAACTAGCGACCCGCCCCAGCTCCGCACGGGTGCAATGTATTATACATATAAACTTCCTCTTGAAATTCTATCTAGTAAAAAACAACATCATCAAGATCCGTTGCATAATTTTAAAGATCTAAGCATACATAGGGACAGACAGACAGGGACGACTTTGTTTTATACTATGTAGTGATGAGTCTGTAACGAATGGCGATCTGAGGGGGTTAGCCGATATTCTATTTTAATTATGAACACGATAGTCTCGTGTTGCTGAAAAACAGTGAAGAGATTTAGTAGAGCGTGAATCTAGCAGCTTAGGACACATCTCACTGCTGGGCAAAAGCCTCCTGTGTACAGCTGCTATAGAGCATTTCGAAAACATGCAGTTTGTATGCGATGTTTTCCTTCACCGATGAGCACGTCATACGTTAGCGCTTAAAATTAACAATTTCATTCGTACCGGCACCGAAATTTTAACTCAGTTTGTTCGAGCATAAAAAAAGGGGACTTCGAATCTAACATAATGACTTGTTACTGGAATATGGTAGGTTTGAAAAAAAAAATTATCCGAACATGTCAAACGAGAGAATCAGTTCCTTCCTCCCATACATTACAGCCGAAGGCCATTTCAAAGTAATGTTACCACTCTATGTCAAAAGTTTGCAATAGTAGTGATTTTACCGCCACCAATGAACATATACGCCACCTGACGAGTTATAGATGTGTTGCTAACCTTTAAAAACGGTGGGCCACGGTTACCTGACTCACGGGACGAAACACCAAAAGTACAAAACTTCACGTTGGTCTTCCGTTACGCTGTCGTAATTCCCGGCGACCGAACTTAACAAGATTGTATGAGATTTTTTCAATGTTAACTCATCGAATCGTAAATATCGAAAACGGACATCGACATCAGACTAAGCAACGTAGTGTTAACACAGGTAAAAAATAAACAATAAATTGGTTTCGTAAGTCCGAGCCCATTGATCGTGACTTGTGTCACGCTAGCTTTCGCCTACAAAGATCGTTAGCATAATCGCTATGAAATAATTATGATCCTCCATATTTCAGTCGAGCGTGTCCCGCAATTTCACTGTCCGATGCCCACTTCTGGGAAAGTCGCGGTCATTTCGCCTCCGACTGCAGTTTCTCGTGTCAAAGCGGACTTGTGAGAGATAACTAAAGGTTGAAATTACCGTAAGTCATGGTAGCTAAGTGTCCGCGCGGTCGCTTTTACTTTTATGACCACATAAAATAATAAATAATAATAATAATAAATATTTTAGGACACATTTTTACTCAACATTTTCTAGTTCCAAACTAAGCAACGCTTGTAATATGGGTACTAGAAAACTGATAAACATACTTAAACATACTTTTCTTTTGTAAATAAATATATATTATAGATATATAAACACCCAGACACTAGAAAAACACTATGTTCATCACACAATATTTTTCCAGTAGTGGGGATCGAACCCACACCCTCTGGCGCAGGAGGCAGGTACACTAACCACTACGCCATTCGGGTCGTCAAAATACATTTATTACACAAAATACTTTTTTACATAAAACACTTGAGCCCGAGATTCAATAGCAATGAAATTAGTATGGGACCACATGGGAAGCACCGGCTTTCAAATAAAAAAAAGAATCATCACAATCGGTTCACTCAATTGGAAGTTCTGAGGTGACAAACATAAAAAAAAATACAATCGAATTGAGAAACTCCACCATTTTTGAAGTCTGTTGAACATTGGAAACAATTCACTGTTCCTACTTCACTGTGTCTATTTGTCAACAACGTAATTATGTTGTCGTTCGACACAGTTGCAATATAATCTGCTTGTGGAAGAAAAAAATATTTAACGTGGTAGGGCCACGCAGCAGCCTCGGCTGTTGCACGAATGGGCAGGCCCGTCCGGGTAAGTACCACGACCTCACAGAAGACCAGCGCAAAGTGGAAGTATGACAAATACTTTCGCGTTTCATCTGGTGAGTGAGGTGGCCGGAGCCCAATTTTCAAAAGGTTGTCAACGCATCCGTAACCCTCGGGTGTGGCAGATGTCCACGGGCGGCGGTATTCACTTAACATCAGGTGAACCGTCTGCTCGTTTGACAACTTTTCGCATAAAATAAATAAATAACAAATATTAACTATTTCACGTTCAATTTTGACGATAGCTACTGACATTTCAAACACTGGGGTGTTTACGTTCTACGGTCGTTAACTACCAGCGTTATTACCGGGCGTTATCTATCCGGCCTACCTGCTGCGCGTCGGACTCGCAGACGAAGATTCCGTACCATTATCCATAAAAGCGGCAAAAAAAATCATGTCCGTTGTATGGGAACCCCACATCAATGTTTTTTGTATTTGTTGTTATAGCGGCAACAGAAATACTGTGAAAATTTCCACTGTCTAACTATAACGGTTCATGAGATACACTATGGTGACAGACTAACAGACAGACAGACAGCGGAGTCTCAGTAATAGAGTCCCGTTTTACCCTTTGGGTACGGAACCCTAAAAAGACGTGTACGTAGGTATGAAGTTATATTTCTTTGCGTTACAAAATATGAATGCTACAAAATAAGAATCCTTTATCCTGCGTGTCAATGCAATACATTTATTTGTTGAAGCAACGATATGGTAATGAAATTAACATATTAAATACAATTGATAAAGGTTCAATTAAAAAGTATACTCTAATTTAAATAACGTTTATTATTGAAACGGATACACATGTGTAGGTAGAGTTTTCGACAAATTTGTGGTGTTCATTTCACAACGGTAAAAATTCACTCTCATAATTTCCCCCAACGGTTCAAAAGGACTATAAAACAATTTAAGTTCGATGAAGGAAGTAAACAATCTACTACCTGATGTCGTATAAAAGTAGGGTCAGTAACTAAGTTTAGTGTCGGCAGCGAAGGGGCATCATGATATTGCCCAACACATAAGGGTTATATAGCTTTGGTGTCTCTTGGTGTCAGGTGGCAAGTGCCTTTGCCGCGGTTCGAACTAAGTTAGGACAGGAAATGTCCTAACTTAGTTCGAACCGCGAACTTTTAATCTTTTTATCTTCAATAAATGTATTGAAGATAAAAAGATTAAAAGAACTAGATGAAAAAACCTTAAAGTACGACTTCATTTTTTTATAATTTTTTTGAACATTGTTTTTTAAAAACAAAACATTTTTTTTTAAATACTTTCAACGTATTTTATCTACATTGCTTTTTCGTATTAGCAATGTGTTTGTCGGTCCTGTTTGTGAATATTTGGTTAATCGTTCCGTGCAAATGTTCCTAGGACAAAAAATTTCTTTGTTAGATCCTCAATACGAATTTCGAACAAAATACTACTGCATTGGAACGCAGAACGGGCGTTAAGTAATCTTAAAAATTGAGAAAGTTCATTTAAGAAGTGGAGACATTTCCATTTTATAAGTATATAAAGAAAGTTAGAATATGTGTTGAATTAAATGTTTAATTAAAAAACTGAGATCGTTTTCTAACGTCTGTTATGACACTTAATAGCGTCGTTTCAACTTTTACTTTTCGCATTGAAACTAGAGCGATTG